TGCTATACACTTAGTCAAGTTTAAATCTGAAAGTCAATTACAGTAAAACCTGTCAAAACCGAACCCTGGATAAACCGACCCACTGTAAGAACCCGACCGATTTATGCAGCCCCAAAAATTTCTCAATAGACGCGTATGTTAAAACAACCTGTGAAATCCGACCACTGTCTACTCCGAACACCGACCGCATTGATCGGTCCCAAGTCCAATTTTCACACTGAATACATCGACCATCCGACCAGTTGCATCACATCCGCTGTCTAGTAATCCGGTCTGTCCGACCTGAAAAGTGTGCATTGTGTTCAATTTACCGTGAACAATACCAAATCTCACACTCCAAGTAACGTCCCGCGTAAAACAATGGCAACTTATTAAGTTTCTCACACCACACGCCCAGACATCGCGTGGTGTCTGGACAGTATAATGACACCAGATATAAACAAAAAGATTGTTTACAGGAAAAGTGTGAAATAATGTTTTATCAGTTTTCTGTAATTAAAACAAAAGAATTTTTCCCATAAGAAGACCTTTCGATCAGTTTTCCAGTCACTCTGTTTTTGACAGCAATCACTACAAGCACCACGCTCTACAACTATCGATATCGTTTATTTACTGCTTTTATTTACCATGAGCCGACCACCACAGAAACGTCGTAGGGTAGAACTTACCCTAGCTGACAAAGTCAAGCTTATCAAGGATTCCGAGTCAACGAATCTAACTCGACAACAACTTGGCCAGAAGTATGGCATCGGGAAATCTACAGTGACAGACATCATAAAGAAAAAGGCGGACTACATGAAGCAGTTTGAAAATAACATCGATGGATCCAGACAGCGCATCAAAACTTCATCGAAATTTGAAGAAATCAATGGCTTAGTTTGGACATGGTTTCAGCAGGCTCGTGCAAAGCATATTCAGGCCAGAAGATATTTTTAATACCGATGAAACTGGTGTTTATTTTAGAGCCTTGCCTGATAGAACACTTGGAACAAAATCAGACGATTGTAAAGGCGGCAAAGTTTCAAAGGAGAGACTGACCGCGTTGTTTACATGCAGCATGAAAATAAAACCGTTCGTCATCGGAAAGGCAGCGAAACCACGCTGTTTTAAAAATATTGATCCAAAAACTTTGCCTGTATACTGGAATTCAAATAAAAAAGCCTGGATGACAAGTGCCTTATTTGAAGAATATCTCCGTGATTTGAACAATCAAATGCGTCGTAAACGTCGAAAAATCTTGCTTTTTCTTGACAACGCCACTTCACACTGCCCGAACATTAGGCTATCGCATGTCACTCTGAAATTCTTTCCTGCCAATACCACATCTGTTTTACAACCGCTAGACCAGGGAATTATTAGAGCATTTAAAGCTCGATACAGAAAGAGACTCCTACGTTCTGTTATTGCAAAGATTGACACAGAATCGAGTGCGAGTGAAGTGGCGAAATCCGTAAATGTACTCGACGCCGTACACTGGATCAACAGTTCGTGGATTGACACGAAATCTGAGACAATAACAAAATGTTTTCACAAAGGTGGTTTCCATCAACTGGACAGTGAAATCACCGATGTGGAAGAAGCAGACGACACAGAAGAGATAAGAAATCTTATCAATGAAGTCACAGGGCCAGATGTTCAATGCACCGTTGACGAATATCTTAACTTCGATGACAATATGCCGACAGAGGAAACTTACGATGGCGAATGGGAACAACAAATTTTAGAGAATTTTATTGAAGACAAAGAAAACCAAGACTGTCTAGATGATGATACAGAAAGCAGTGAAAATCAAATCGTCAATGAATGTGACGAGGGCAGCGACATGACACATCAGGATGTGCTGCACATGTTGACAAAAATAAAGAACTTCGCAATAAACAAAGACTCGTGTTACCTGACTGCAGTCCAAGACCTGCAAACCATGACTGAACGAAAAATTGTACAGAAAAGATGTTCTTTGAGGCAGTCAACTTTGGACAGTTTTTCACACCATAAACTGACATTTATTGACGTACTTAACCTAAGTTTAGTGACTTTTTTCAACGTGAATCAGTGACGTCATTAAAAATGGATGCCTTCATTAACATGTATACGTACCTGTCATCAGCCGACGATCTCCAGTTGTTGTTTTTTTTCTTTGTACATGTACAAATTAATTCATAAATGTACAGTACTACATGTAATAAAATAATGTGTGAACTTTCGTTTTATTGATAATAAACGTAAATACAATGACGTTTACAATGTTGGTATTGTGATCTCTCTGATTAAAAATAAGTGCAAATATATGCCCCATTTTTTTTAAAGCCACGCCCACCCTGCATAAACCGACTCCCTCTGAAAACCCGACCATACATTATGGGCCCACTCAAGGTCGGTTTTGACAGGTTTTACTGTAGCAAATTCAAGGTTAGAGTAGTGTGTAGTGAGTAAAAAGCAACATAGATTCTAGGCTAGAGTAGTGTGTAGTGAATAAAAAGCAACATAGATTCTAGGCTAGAGTAGTGTGTAGTGAGTAAAAAGCAACATAGATTCTAGGCTAGAGTAGTGTGTAGTGAGTAAAAAGCAACATAGATTCTAGGCTAGAGTAGTGTGTAGTGAGTAAAAAGCAACATAGATTCTAGGCTGGAGTGGCATATAGCAAGTGGAACTCCAGACAGTGGCAAATAATTTTCTGTACTTACCTTTCCAGGCTGTGATGCAGACAGTTTCTGTAGACTCTGTGCTAAGTTTATTTTAGCATTAGGTATGGTACCATTGAATGGGTCGTGTTCTCTCTTGCCTGCGAACACTAACTGTGAGAATGCAGCTTGATATCCTGGAGTGTCTTCAATCTCTATGAAATGTTCATCATCGGGTACGGTCTCATCCTCAGGCAATTCAAATAAATCAACAAGTTCTTCCAACAGTTTAGGCCTGTATTACAGAAAATAAAGTTGACAGTTGAAGTTTGCTGTGAAAATGAATTTCAACATTAAGTAGCGTTGGTATAGAAAATACAAAACAGGACTGAATGCTGCCAGGTTTCTTTCTTTCATTCATTCATTCATTCATTTGACGATCAGAATAGGAAATTTCATGAATTCATAATGCATTGCTGCAAAGATACAAGACCCACATTCTTGTCCGACTGGACTCCTTTTTATAGTATATAGAAATGGCACATGCCTAACAAGTGGGCAGAATGTAATCTTGTTTTTAAAGTGGTCGGGCTGCCACAGGAACTCGTAATCTTACAGATGCTAAGCAGTTACACATCAGATGTGCATCTTATGATGTAAGTATCAATGGCATAGAAGAGAATGAACGAAGCTCACTAGCAAATTTAAATTCTCAGAATATCACACCAGTTACTGACAGCCCCTCCCGACAAACGCACTCCATATTACTTTTTATATACTAACCACAGTTTTGCATATTCTCCATTGATTATGACTGGACATTCTGTTAATAACTTGGTCATACCAACTGCACATATCTTCCTCTCAGTTCCACCTGATACCTTTCGTACATCTGCCAAATACAGTCTTTCTAAGACCATACCAAACATTCTAGAAACAAATTAAAACAGTCAATCATCATTTCAATAATCAGTTATAAATTGAGAAGGTGAAGTAGTATACTTTATTTTCTTTAGTTCCTTTATTTCCTATATTTCAAATTCAACTCATCAAAACGTCAGTGCAAAAAAATGGCAGAAAACAATACGTTATTAATCCTGGCACAATTGATGCACATTGGTACTTGCACCTACTCAGTTGGGTAGAAGATTATGCAAATAAGTTTTCTGTCTGCAGCAGACCATATAAGGTAATAATCATCACTTACTTAGTTTGTATGCTTTCTATCATTTCCACCAACGCTACACCACCATATTTGTATGCATAGAGTGAAAAAAACACTAATAGATCTGTAGAAAAATTTAAAAAGAAAATATAGCAATGAAGATTGCAGTCAAACAGGTGTATAGTAGCCACCACTTCCCTCTTTTCATCACAAATTCACAAAATATTCCTGTTTATAAGCCTGCACTTTCCAAAAATGGTCAAAATTTTTGAGTAAAAACTGAAAATTAACTCAAATTTTGTCTGCTTGCTCCAAACTTGGAGTTCATTTCCAAATTTGTTTAGCAATATGAAAACAAGCAGCTTGTCGGCTGAGATAGCTCCGCTGTTAGCAATGCACATTACAATTAAAGAACTGAAGATATTAGAAAATGAACAATATATATATATAAAAAGCAACGGGACAAATCTGAAAGAAGTCCACATGTCGAAAATATCACTTTTTACCAAAAATTACAAAAATATTCACTAAAATTAGAGAATTAAAGATATCATCATGAAATGAACAAATCTGAGAGAGGTCCACATGTAGTACCTATATATGTAATATAAAAGCAATTGGACTAGTGGTTTTTAACAAAAAGTCAAAAATATCACTTTTTACCAAAAATGACAAAAATATTCACCAAAATTAGAGAATTGAAGATATGATCATGAAATGAACAAATCTGAGAGAGGTCTACCCAAGATACATATACAACAAGTATCAAATCATTCAGGCTTGTAGTTTTCAAGAAGAAGTCAAAAAAGTAAACCATTGACACGGACGACGACAGACAATCACTCATATGACAAAGTTGACAGCGGAGCTAAAAAGTGCAGACAAATTTGGCTGAAAAAGTGTGCCGGTGAAAATGTTAAAGTCCTTTGTAGACGAGGGGTGGATATTGATTTATATAATTTGTGAATACAAAAATAATAATTTCTCAGTTTAAGGGTCAATTTGTTAACAGACCATTCAATGATGAGGAAAAAATAAATATTTTGGTTTGTTTTAATTTGAAAATATCAATGTAGGGGACCTACCGGGCAGTAAACATAAAATTATCTTCCATCATTTTAGTCTTTATATACAGGTATATTTGACCAAACTGGTGGCAAGTACCCACATGTTGTCACTATTGGCTGTTGGGTCTTCATTTAAAGGTCACTAACACAGGATTCACTATTTCAGATTCTTTACTATGAAACAAATTTATTGAACTTTTTGCAGGCACAACAATGAATACAAAATAATAAATCTTCAGATTCCAGTTGAATTGAAGCACATATACAAGGCAGAATTTGATATGTCAAAGAAAACTTTCAAAAAACAAGCTGTTCTGTGATTGGTTTGACAGTTCGGGTTAGATAGCCAATCAAACACAATATTATAAGTAGCTTCGCAGTGACCCCAGATTTCTGCCTTGCCAAAGACTGACGCCATATTTTAAAACCATACCATATTTCAACTGATTTCTAAGGTTAGCTTCCACTCAGATCTGTTTCGAAATTGCATGGTTAGATTATCACGATTGGGCACTCGTAGATCGTCAACTTACGTTTGACAAATTTTGTTGTTTTTGAACTCTGTAAACGTTGGAATAACACCAGAAATATCTGTTTCATATACTGCTGAAGAATATCTCTGTAAACAAAATAATCATTAGAGTTAAATACGTTGAATACCAAAGTCGAGACCTGATCAAGACCTTTATTCACAAATGGGAAATTATGATGATTTAGCTCAAAATTAATAAAAAAATAAAAAAAATATACGATTTTAAAATTTTAGCAGGTAAAATTATTGGATTAAGGGACATATTGATAGGCATGATAATTGGGCAATATATTCTATTAGTGTTTTTGGTTTTCTTTCAGTCAGTTCAAACAATATGACAGCAGGTTATGATCATAGTGCACCATAATATCTAACACCCAATCATGATTAACTATGATTAATCCAAAAAATCTGTTTAGTTAAGCTCCCTTTCTAACTAAAAATGTACAACTGGACCAGGGTGATGGTACAATAGTTAGCATGTTTGGGTAGCACTAGAAAGGTTCTGGGTTCAGTTCTAGTTTAATCAGCAGTATAAAATCTGAGTAGCATCCAAGATTTAAAACGTCTGGAGAGGCAGCTGGACAGAAAATACTTAAAAAAAGAAAAAAAAAATCCCCCAACTGGCATACAGCAACAAGTAGCATTTTAGAATGATAACTTTTTCAGCAGACTGGCAATACAATTTGCCAATTTTACTTTTTAGACTACTGTAAATTTTCAGCAAGATACAGTTGCTGTAGGTTGTTAATAAAAACACTTAGTTACAGATGTGATTGGTGTTAATTGCTATGGTATACTTACATTTTCATATGTTCGATAAGACTGCTAATCAAATAGAATCCTTCATGATCATTGGACTTGGATGCTATTAACTTCTGAAACACTCCCAATAAACCAGGCTATAACAATGAATGAGATATTTCATTTTCATTTTGTAGACATTCAGAACACTGCCATTAAAACTGAAACCACAGTAAACGAACGACAGGCACATGGGATGTTTTTTTTTTTTTTTTGCAAATGATCCTCGAGGAACCACAAATGAAAAACAAGTTAGGTAAAATTCCATAACCTGTCATCTTATTTACAGAACACAAACTGGCTTGATCATATTTCCAAACCTAAAAAGTTGTACAAAATTGAATCCACAACTACACAAGGCACAACCATATACTCCTCTTTTA